TTGACCGTACTATGCCACTACCACCGCGTCGGTAGCTCTGGATGCTACGCCATCGACCCGACATTACGCCCTACGAATTCCTCTCTTCCTCCATCTTTCTTTGCCTCTTTCGCATCCTGTTCTTCTCAGCCAAGTCCGTGGTGCACCGATCGGCGGCCTCGTGTGCCAGTGTCATATGTGTTGATCGCGACAGCCGCGTGTTCGTGTCGTGGTAAGCTCGACTAGCGAGGAACGTCGACGCCGTAAACGCGACGCCCTCGTAACGATGCCACCGGAGAGGTAAGAGGAGGCGGGTTTCAGAGCGGAGTGGCCTCTAGGCACGTCCGTATATACCCCCCACATACCTGACTCTGTCGTCTGCAACATAGCAAGAACGTATACGTGCGTGTAGTCCTACTTCTTCGTTCGTGTTGGTCGCCTATCTAGTTGGTCAGCTCTGCTTCGCCGACTCGAATCGCTCGATTCTCGTTAGAGGTTTCTAATGTCTACCATCTCATGGTTGCCTCTAACTTTTTTTTATTTTTCTTTCCTTGAATCGAAAAGGAAATTTTTATTTTATTCCGATTAAAAATATGTATTAGATACTTTCTTTCTTACTTTATACTTTCTTTTTTTTTTGCTTCTTTTTTTTGAATAAGTAGAATTTAAATAAAGAAAGGCATTGAAAAAAAGAATGTTTTCATTGATATTTTTAAAAACCAACTTATAAATTATTAATAACTATAATTATTAATTATTAATAATTTCAGCTTTTATTTTCTACTCGTAGTCGATATCTATGAACTTAACAAATAAAAAACTTTTCGATTTTTACATTTCCACTTGCAACCTCTTCTCTTCTTTAGTGTTTTGCTTTATCTTGATTTTATTACTTTATTCCACTTCCTTTCTCTCTTTTTATTCTTTTAAAATATATAAAAATTCTAAAATCATGTTAGTTTTGAAACATTTTGTTTATTTCTTCATTTTTTTTCATTAATTGCATTATACATTTAATCGATCAGTTAATTAACATATTGATTATCACATCATATATATGTATATGTTTTGCTTTAAAAACAATAGAATAAAATTTTTATTATCCTAAATATATAATTATAAAGCATTGATTAGTATTATTAAATAAGATCAAATTCCTATTAATATTTTGTGTTCATTCTGTTGATTCGTAATCACCGTGAAATAATAACACATTTAATTATTTTTAACACATCATCACTGATCTATAAACAAAAATATATAATACTTGCAATGCATCGAATGCAATTTTGCGATAAAAGATACTTATTATTAAACAATACTTTTTATATTACAATTTTTTCTAATTAGTTATACGTTTTACATTTTTTAATCTAATTCTTTTTGATTATTTATATTATTTGATATTTTTTAATCGATGTCATTTATTTTATTTTAACCCATCCTATAAATATAATAATATCAATAATAACGATTATGGATTAACAAGAAAAAATTCATTACATGTGACTATCATAATTGTCAATATGATAACTGGATAGTTTTTGATAATAAAAGAATAATATAATGGAAAATAAATCAAAATAGATTATTTTGGTGAACGAATCACATATATTTTTCATATCGAAACTCTATTATTCATTCTATGGAACTTTAAATATACTCCTTTGTACTGAAGATAAAAGTTGATGACACATAACACATGCCAGTAAAGATCACATGTATTGTTACTTTCCTCATTTTCTTTACTAACTTTATTGCTAGTATGAGATATTTAAAATATACAGAAATATTTTTATTCTGCTTTTTTTTTTAATTTAATTAAGTACTATTAGTTTTATGTGAGAAAAAATTTTTAGTTATCTTTTTAAAAACTGTAAAAATAAATTCATATATTATTTCTTAATTAATTTTTAAGTTACAAATGATTGTAAATAATAGTGAATCAAAAAGAAAAAATTATAATCGATTCTATGATAAAAGCAATAAGAACATAATTTCTTTTCAAAAAAAATAAAATATTTTTCAATTTATAATTCTTTATATCGTTTTTTAATTATTTTTTTAATTATTATAAAACTATAACTAGAATAATAACTAGAAGAATCTCTATATCGAATAATTAATTTAATTTTCAACATTAAATAAATTAAAAATAATAATAACTAGAATAAATCATTCTATTTCATTCATTTTTTTCATAAATATTTATTTTGAATAATCTAGATTTAGAAAAAACCCGAATTTATGACTCTTTTTTCTACGTTCCAAATTTTCATTCCATTTTTACGTTATTCCCAAAAATAATTTTCAGATAAGTAATTGAAAGAATCTCTACATCGAATAATTAATTTAATTTTTCAATTAAGTAAATTAAAAATAAAATAAAAAAGAAATCAAAAATCTAAGTTTGACAACTTTCTTCCATTATTTCCATTTCTTCACACTCCCTGTTCGGTCTTTGTCTTTCTTCTCACGAAATCAAGCATAAATTCATACGTGGTAAGTGAGACTCGCGTGCAGGCATACCGTCGATCGTTTGGTGTGGATATGTATGCGCACTCGCATAATAGCCTCGTTCCTGGCGCATTCGATGCTAGATACGTGAGACGTCGCGTAGATCCCTTCCAAGAGTTTGGGTCTCTGCGATAAACGATACTGTGCCACGCCACCCTAGGTCACGCTAGATGTAGTCTGGCGTGGCCTCGTGCCGTGAATCGGCAGGGGAATGGTCAGAGAAATAGTCACCATGGCATGGTATAGCAACGTGCCATTGGCGGCGCGACACGGCGCTAACTTAACGGAGATAGCTTCGTAATAGTAGCAGAACTTGATAAACCTTTGCAAAAAAAAAAAAAAAAAAA